TCAACATTTTTAGTGGAAAAGATGTCAATTTTAGCACTTTTTAGAGGAAAAGGATCAATTTTAGCATATTTAGAGGGGAAAGTTTCAATTTCAGCATTTTTAGTAGAAAAATTGGTAATCTCAGCATTTTCAGCGGAAAAAGTTAGTTTTAGCACTTAATTCTTATAATAATGATGTAATGTATAGTATATAAGTATGTGAAATCTAATCAGACTTTCATAATATCTTACAAAATTAAAAAGTATAGAATATTATAGACAAAAATTAAAAATGGTGTTTTGGACCCGTTAATCGCATTTTTTTCTACTTTAAATATTTAAGATTATATTTTGAAAAGTTTGATAATGTTATAATTATGTGAGTGTGAATAAAAATTTAATATGAGTATTATTAAAATAATAATCCCTGTGTTAACTTTGTCATTTCGTTTAAATATTAAGTTATTTTGATATTTCTCTCTCCTCTCTTCTCTCTTTACTTTAGAATATAGAAATAGAGAAAGAAGGAGAAAATAATGTTGAAATATTTTGTAGTATTAAATTTAATATTTCAGAATTGCCAGATAAAAAATAAATTTATTATTTTATTAATGACAAATAAATTATTAGAGAATTAATTTACAAAATCTGAACTGAGTGTAATAGTTATTTTATTGAAGGCTAAATTTCACTGGAGTTTTATTTTGAAAAGAACACCGTCTTTTTTTGCCTAAAATATAATATAGAAATGGATATAATATTTGAATTAATTAAAGTTTGTGTAATTTTATAATCTGAAGCTTTAATAAATTGCTTATATTTTTGCAATAATTGAGGCTCTCCTCGTCATATCATAAATGTGAATAAAAATATTTAATTAATAATTTGTAGTATTATGTAATTTATATTTGGTGTTATAAAAGAAATTTTAATAAATAATATTTGATGGAAAAATAATTTGTATTTGTGATAGAAAAATTATAAACACAAATTGAAAATCAAATGAGTGATTTAAATTACAACTAATGTGCACAACATATTCAACATTGCAATATAAAAGAAATATTAAGTATATACTGGCCAAAAGTTTTAATATTATATTAAGGGGTATAGTACGGTTACTAAATACAATATTTTAATAACATTGCCAAATTTTTTTAATATACGTACATATTATTTACTATAAATTTTCAAGATAACATTTTAGAAAATGGGAAACCGCCTATTGTAGCATAAATGCTCGTAAATTATACAACTAGACTTGGGAGAATAAATTGCAGATAAAATTAAAATTGATTATGCGAAATTAATAAAGTTGCCAAAATTATTATGAAAAATTCTTGAAGTTGGAAAATTTTTTTTTATTTTTTGCACGTTTATCATTAGTATTAAAAATCGATAAGAAATCAATCAAAAAATTTAATAATAAAATTTATTAATAACATTAAGCGAACTGTGACAAAAAAAAAATTTTGTATAGTAAATTTTTATTTTAATTTTGAAAAACTATGCAAGTTTTCTTATGAGGAAGCCATTCTTCATTATTTAAAGAAATGATTTATGAGATTTTTTTTCCAGTGTTATGGTTAATGTAAAAATATCATTAAGAAAAATTTCATATTCGGAAAGTGTGTTTTCAATCGATTTTTTTTGTTTTTTGTTTCATGAATGGTGTAAGTATTTTTTAATGAGTTTTTGCTTGTTCTCTGTTTTTGTTTTATAAAAAATGAACATATTTAAGAAATTTTTATAATTTTCATTATAATTTTAGAAAAATTTTTTATAAAAAACATTAAAAATTTTTTACTTATTTAAGAAAAAAGTATAATATAAAATAATTTTTTTTAATTAAATAGTATTTAAATTTTTTCTTCCTTTTTTTTTTTAAAAAACAGGGGTTTTGATTAGGTCGGCAAGAAATTTTTTATTTTTTTTAATAATAATTATTACAATTACTTAATTTAACATTTAATATTATTTTTTCTTTATAAATTATATTTATTAAATTACATTATTTTACAATTTATAAATTATTATTTATTTTATAATAAAAACTTTTTTTTTTCACTTAAATTTATAAAATACTATTTTATTATTTTGTTAAATAGAAAAGAATTGGTTATAAATTAAAAAAAAATGTAAGTAATTACAAAATTTGTTTAGTCAAATATAATTTTTTTGTTCGATATAAAATTGTTTTATTTTATTAGAAAAATGGGAAATTTAAGAATTTTTTTGTGCAATTTTAATAATATTAAGAAAAAATTCCATTTAGTTTTTATTTTATTTTTATATTTTAATTTTTGTTTTTGATCTTTTCTAAACCAAATCATGAAATTCAAATTAAAAATGTAATCAGTACAATTTAAAATAAATAATACAAGTAATCGAATAAAAATTTTAATATTATTGTAGAGGGTCAAGAGAAAATTTTGCTAAAAAAATATAAATGTATTATATAACTGAAACTCTCTCAAATATTACTATAAAGTTACACTCTCTTTAAAACATATACTGAGTATTTTTGATAATTCAATTCTATTCTAGTACATAATTTGTAGCAATTTTGATAATTTAGTACTACACGGACTGCCACCAAAAAGTATTTTTGAAAATGCAGCAATATTTTGACAGTAACTTTTTTTTAAACTACAATTTGTTATATAGAAAATACGAAGTTTTAATTTTACTATTACAACTGAAAAAAAAAAATATTAGAAAATTTAGAAGAATTAATTGAGTAAGTTTTGTATTTTAGTTTTTAAATTTTAATTTATTTATTGTAATGTTTGTGTATTTTAAGTACTATTGAAAGTTAAAAATTAAATAATTTTTTAATTTGAATAATAACATGTGACTGTGATAGTACTTGGAGTACATCAACTGTAAAAAATTTCCTTTACTACAAGTAGCAACATTAAAATTTTTGTAGTTGTTTTTTTTCTGTTGCTAAAATTTATTAAGTTTTAAGTTAGAAATGCAAAAATACCAACTACATTTTCAAGAACACAATTCAAATTCGCATTTCAATTCAAATTTGAGTCTGAAATTGTTGATAGTGTAGCTCTATGTTCTCTTGAAAGAAAAATCTCAATTAAAGAGAATTCTAAATAAGTATTGTACTTATATAGCAGTATATTTTCTTTAAGGGAGAGAATTAAATTTCTGTTATCGCTAAATCACGGAGATAATGTAAAACTGTAAAAATGAGAAGGAGTAAAAAGGAGTAATGCCACCTCGTATTTTACAAAATATTTTTATGAATCTCATTATTATTGGTTACGAAAGTTAACTACAAAAACGAAAAAAAAAAAGAAAAAACAAAAAACGAGAAATACCAGAGGATTAAAGTTAATTTTTGTTTTAAGGATCTTAAAATTTATATTTACAATTTTCTAATATTTTTTATTTACAAAATAAAATTTTATGCTTAATAGATTTATTCATGTATGCTTGTTTTAACTTAATAAAACAAAATTTATAATTTTTTCAAATTTCTTTCAAAAAATTTTTTTTTTGTTAATTTTTTTTTTGTACAAAAATTTTACAAAGTCAGAATTTCACTTCCTTTTATATTTGTTTGCTTTTTTTTTTGTTTTGAGTTTTTACCTTGACTTTTTAAATATCACACATTTTTTTTTTTCCCTAAATTTCACATACAATATTTTTTTTGTTTTTGTTTGTTTTCGAAAAAAATTTTTTTTTTGAAAGAGGAAATTTTTTCTTTTCTTTTCGTAAAATAAATATGATATAAATATACATATATAAATATATATTATATATGTGGAAATGAAGAAAATATAAAAAAAAAAAACAACTTTAGCATTTTAATCAAAAGCTCAGAATCCAAAGGAATCGTGAGTGTGCACATAGGTAATTGAAAATTTTGAAAATAGTACAAATATACAAATTACTCATAATATCGAAATAATGGCAATTAGTTAAAATGAATTCGAAAATTTAATTAGCTACAAAGACATTAATCCTAGAAATATGCAATTTTTTTTTGTATTTATTTTGTATGTTGGTATTACATACGTGAATTAATCACAATATTTCAGCATGACAGAATTAATTAATAGAGAAAACTTTTGAAAATAATTTATTACATTAATAATAATCAGTGCCGGATCTATCATATATGAAATGAAAGCCGCAAAATAGGGGCGGAATTATTATACGCAAATGATAATGTTTAATATACATTATTTATTTGCTGCGAACATAACAGATCCGGACCTGATAATATTGAATAAAATTTTAAATAAATAACTTAAATTTAATATTCAAATTTTCGAATTGTCAAAATTATTCAAAGCACATTTAATTTATTTAAATATTGAAATTGAGTTATAAGTGTTATAAGAATAATAAATAATAATCTAGTAAATTTTTCATAATTTTGTTTATAATTTTTTTTTGCTTCATAATACTACGTCTGTAGCTCAATTCAATGTATAATTTTTGTAAGAATAGCTTTAGGAAATACAATTATCAAATATTAAAGAAATTTGTAATAATAATTTGAATTATAGAAACAGTGTAACTATGCGAATAAGAAAAGCGGAACTTTTTGAAAATATTTAATATTAAAAAAAATCCTTTATGGGTTTGGACAAAAGCAATTTAGGTATATTGAATTAATAAAGTCATGTAAAATGAATAAATTATAAAAAATCCTTTTTATGAAGAAAAACTTTTGTTCTTATAATCTATGAATATCATTTAGAAAAAATGCTTATCTATGTAAAATTAATAGAGAATTTCTCTATGAAAAATTTATTGGACTCAATTCATTTGTGTTTTTTTTTCTTTAATTCTATATAATTATTTTAGAAATTGATTGTATAAAAGCCATTCAGAAGATTAATCAAGTAAATTTAATCAAGAAGTGATTGGAGAAATTTTATTTATGTACATTACAATTATTTATAAAGACATTGCTAAATGCATTATTTGTGAAAAATTTCAATGACTTTTGAGAAATTTAAATTGGATGAAATTTGAAGACTATGACGAAAATTATGTTGTTTTTTTTTTATGCGTATATTTAAATTTTTTTACAAGAATTTTTTGATTGTATTAAAAAAATTAAAATGGAAATTAAATTTCCATTTAAAGAAGAAGATGAAGTAATATTTTTTGTTCAAAAAGGATGATTGATTATATGATATTAAATTTCATATACTAGTTTGTTTTTTTTTTTTTTTTATCCTAAAAGCGTATATGTTTCCCGGTTATTATTTTTATACTTAAATATTACGTCATTATCTTCTTAAGACGCATTATTCTTCATAATAAACAAAAATTTTTTAAATGAAAATTTTGAAATAAAAAAAAAAATTTCCTTCTTTCAATACAAAAAAATTTTTTTTATATCGAAAATATTTTGTCCCGATTTTCCCCAACTCAATGTTCTTCTATAATACTTTAATAGTTTTAGTAATTTCAAATTTTTTTAACACATAATATTAACATCATCTGAATCAATTTGATCGGGTTTCTTACATTTAAATAAATATACTTCCATATTATCTTTACCTTTAACATAGACTTTACCACGCGGTTCAAATTCATAATTATTATCCAAATATTGTAGGCACTCTTTTCTTATTTGTATACGTCCAGCAACACCAGTTGAATCCATACGGCTAGCAACATTAACAGCATCACCCCATATATCATAATGTAATTTACTTGTACCAATAACACCAGCTGTAACATCACCAACATTAAAACCAATTCTTAATATTAAATTAAATTCTAATAAATCTTTATTGAATGCATCAACAACAGATAACATTGCTAATGAAAATTCCATTAATGTTATAATATGTTCATCATTATCACCACGATTTGATGGATCTAAACCGCTAGCAGCCATAAATGTACTACCAATTGTTTTAATTTTTTCAACACTTTTAAATTCACTACGTGATAATAATTCATCAAAATCAGCAATTAATTCATTTAATACTCTTAAATATTCTTTACCACCCAAATATGTTTCATCATACATTTCATTAAAATTAACAATACTTGCAAATATTATACCAATATTATGATGATTTTCTGAATATTTTGCAGTATTCTTTAATTGTTCAGCAACATGTTTTGGTATTATATTATGTAATAGCATATCAGCTTGATTTTTCATATTTTGTACACGAATTTTATCTTGATTTGCAACAGCATTACCATAAAATGTTAAGCGATAACCAATTTCAAATTCCCGATTAAGTATCCAGACTAGTATAAGTAATAAAACTAAATCTAGATATATTTCGACATGATAATTTTGAAACCATTTAATATCTTCATATAAATGTGGACTAACAATTTCAACTGCACTCTGATTTAAATTTCTTTCATTTAATTCTTCTATACGACTAGAATATACCATTAGTTGGCCAACAGCCATACCAATAAAACAAAATGCTGCCAATAATGCTAAAAAATTTCTCATCCAACAATTTAATTGAGTGAAATTACAAAAATGAAAAATACAAACAAAAATTAAAAATCCATAATGGTATTCGAATGCTTCCAATTTACTTAAATCAAGAAGAGTAAAATTAACAACAATTAATATCACAGGTAATGACATAAGTATCGCTAGGCATGTATGCCACGGATACCAACTAGAAATTGATTCAAATAAACGATCTGCACATGTTTTTGAATTTTTTGAATTATTAATCATTAATCGACTTTTCATAGAATTTGAATGTCGACGACGTATTTGCCTTGTGAATAGGAACAAAGCGAATATTTGAATTGTTGTAAATGTAAAAAAACATGATGCCCATATACGGTACTCTGATGATGTTTCAGGACCGCCATCATAAGTTGGTGTCATTAAAAATAATGATGCTGATATACAAAAATAAACTACAATACCAACAAAAATATCAATGTATGTGTTATAGCGGGGTGTTGCAAGTGTTGGTGGTCCTTCTGATTCTGATTCTGAACCGAATCGATGTGCCTTTGAACGAAATTCACGTTCCATTTGTCTTGATTTAAAAAATAATGTTAATTTATTTAACGGTGGTTTCACTAAATAACTTCTTTGTGATTTCGCATTATCCCTCACGCAACGTATCAACTGTAAATCAGACTGCTTGCGCAATTGTTGTAAACAAGCGGCAAGCGGATCTGATAACGGTTGATTCTCTGCTTGATGTTGTTGTGGTGTTTGAAAACTAACTGTTGGAAATTGTGATGGAAAATGTTGACTATCACATAAAGTTTCTGGATTTATTGGTGCATTTGATAAACTTGATGTTGAACTAGTAAAATAACCCGATACTCTATGCTGGGATATTGTTGATTGATTAAGTGCATAAATTTGTTGTTGTATACTAGATCGTCGACTATTACTTTTTATACCAGAATCTTTTCGACTTGTTGCCGATGGACATATACTTAAACCATCCGGCCAAACACCACCTAAACCGCTAGCATTTAGACCAACAACACCACAACTACTATTGCGTTTTGTTGGACTCTCAGCTCGACCAGCCATCGTATGACTTCGTTGTCTTGCCAATGGTGATGTTTCCGAATTGCCACCACCAGATCGGCCACATTGTGAACGATATGATCCAGAACGGCCAAATGGTGATATATCACTACGTGATTGTGAGATATACGACCGAACATCAATGATGTCATCGAAAATAGATTGCCCAGTCGGTGGAGCCAATATGCCTGGTGAACAACAACTGCCATCTGGAGATTTAATGGTAAGTGATCCCCGGCCATTATGAGCACTATGCGGACTTAATGCTAGTGCTTTCGATGGAATATCTAAAGTATGTACACGTGGTCTTGGTGTTTCAATTAAAACTGGCAATTGTTGATAACCATTTTGATCAATGTTTATGACCTCATCAGTACCCTTTGGTTTATTTAAACAGTTACCTGAGTTATTTTGTTGAGCTTTATTGTTGATTTCATTTTCAGTCTTTTTTAAAAATTTTGGAACTTTCCAGTTTTTCAATTTGGCTGCATATTTGGCTGCTGAGTTATTATTTTCGGTTCCGTTGCCTGTTCCATCTAATGTTGGTTTTGAATTATTTTTTGATTTGCCATTTGTTTCACCATTTGACCCAAGATCATCAGGTTCGTGATCTGAATCTAAACTTCCCGGTAATGATTTCGCTGTGATTATAATTTTTGGATGTTGTTGTGGTAAAATTGGCTTTTGTGGATTATTTGAACCTTTCTCTGAATCTGTTACATTTGCTGTAGATTTTTTTCGTATTTTCATACTAAATGAAGTTAGACGTGGCCTTATTGATAGTACTGGAGAAGGATTCAATGAAGATGATATTTGACCAACAGGTGATGCAGGTGGTACTGCAGGTTGAACTGTTGATAAATTTGTAGCACTCTGTGATAAAACTACTCCATTAATATAGCCATCAGGCGTTAAATGATTACATTCAGACTTGGAAATTGGTGTGATGCTACTATTTCTTGACGTTCGTCGTCCAACAACAAAGTACGTTCTGTGACCTATACCAAAAAAATTTTATTCAGTAATTTTATAACACTAAAGCAAAAATTATAATTTTATTACCGAAAACTTCTTCTCCCTCTTCCAAAAAATATGCATCACCCAAAAAGCTTGAAGTTTCTTCAGATATATGAACTTGTTCTGGTTTTCCAGTTGATTCCATTCTGAAATCATAAAAAATTAGAAACCAGTTTAAATAACAAGAACTAAATGTTTAACTTACTTATTGGCTAATGTAACGTCATTACTCCATACATCGAATTTCACACGCCTAGTTCCTACAATACCACATAATACAGTTCCAGTATGAACGCCAACCCTCATTTTAACACCTTCTCCTCGTTGTGCATCAAAACATCTCATAGCTTCAATCATACCAATACCCATTTCAACACAACATATTGCATGATCTGGTCTCGGTTCAGGACATCCAGAAACACAATAATAACAATCACCTAGAGTTGATATTTTTTCGCATCCATTCAAATTGCATAAATCATCAAAACGTTCAAACAAATCATTTAAGATTTCAACAAGCTGTTCAGCTGTTTTTGTTGATGACATTTTTGTGAAACCGACAATATCAGCAAACAGAATACTAACATTATCCATACTACTCATATGAAATGGACGAAATAATGATTTTACATCATTTGATGGCCGTGGACGCATAAAATTTTCATAACTTGTTTCTGTATTATTTTCAGTTGAATCATCTAAACCATTTGCTCCACCTTCTTTTAATAGCATATTTGCAACTTTTGGTGGCATCACAGAATGTATCATTTTCTCTTTTAATTGTTTTTCCATTTCTAATTGTCGTCTTACTAATAAATTTTGTCCAACTTTCATAAATGTACCACGCCATCGTACAATATTCATAACTAGTACATGTAAACCAATCAAATGTACACTGATTTGTAATAAAATTCTTAAAATTAAAATTTTATAACAAAATTGATTCATTCGGCCGCCATGTATTGGTATCGCTCCAATTAAATATGTTAATAATTCAAATAACACTGAATATGTAATACCAATTAATCCACTAACCCATAATCGCATTGGTAGAGCTGTATAAATTAATAATATAATTTCTAAACAAATAGCAAAATGTCCTAATGGACTGAATGCTTCTTTGGTTGTAGCTAAAAATAATAGTGATGTTAAACATAATGTTATTGCTGTCACAGCTGATGTTATATCTGTATGTGCTCTATAAAAATTTGTTTTTGTAAAATAAAAACCAAATATTGAAAATACAAATAATATTGCATAGGAACTCGTTACTGATATCCAATGATCACCAATTAATTTACTAGTATAAAATGTAAAATATAGGAACCATACTGCTGAGCATAACAGAATGTAGGCAAGGGCGAATCTGTAATTAAAAAAAATAAAAGTAAAAATCAAATTAATTGGAAGCGTGGAATATTGAATTTTTGTAAATTTAGCAAACTTTTAGTTCAGTTAATTGAAATCGTGATCAACTCACTTATTTTTAATAACTGAATTAAAATAATTGACAATATTTAGTAATTTTCCAGTAAATTAAGGGTCTAAATTTATTTAATTTTAATTCTTTTTCTCCTTTCATTTTGACAAATTTTCTTAATGTATTAGGATTTGAAGGATTTCGAAAAGGCAATTACAATAACTTACGGTCACTTGATAATTATTTGAGTTCTTAATTACAATTTAATTCACTAGGTGGATTTCTGTTCTTCCTTCTACTCTTGTATGATTAATTGGACAATGACATGCATTGTTATACTTGAAACCAAAAATACTTAATGGACAATTTGAATTAGCAGTGTACTTTGATTTACCAAAAACATTGTAGATTTTCATTTTACCAACTCTTCAGCATTTAATTCTAAATTACAGCATTAACTTTAATAAAATTTAGTATGGTAAACGAGAAATTGATTAAATTCCTTTCGAAGTCGAGAACTAGAAGCTTTTGCGGTTTTTATATTTTTTCGCATGTAAACAGAAATTATCAATGGATTTCTTTGAAATTTATTATCTAAATTTAGGGTGTCAAAACAATAAACCTATAAATTTTTTTGAAAAATCGCGGTTCGGAAAGCGATATAGGGCTCAATCTTCCATTTTTTACTATATCTGCGGACCTAATCGATGGAATTTCTTGAAACTTGATATTTGACTTCTGGTTGTTACCGAAACTAACTGGTTTACTTTTCAGGGAACTCGAATGGTACAAAGCGAAATTCTACTATGAACCAAATTTACATTTTTCGGGGAATATTTACTACAAGCTTCCTAGAGTCCTTAAAGTTGTGAGGAAGTGTTTGAAACGCATAATCTTCTGTATCACTTTCAGTAAAATAGCCAATATACATTGCAGTCGGTTATGTGCTGTTCACATCAGGTTCTTTTTTATTGTTATTTTGTTAGCATTTTATTTTATTTTTTTTTTTAATCAAATTAACATTTTAATCACGAACAAGTTCATGAGGACAAAAAAATATAAAATTAAATAAAAATGGGAAAGGATTTTGAATTTATTTCTGCATTCATAAAAATTAAAGGAACACAATGATTACAACTATAAAAAAAAACAAAAAAAAACGAGAAAAAAAATAGAGTTGACCTTGTCAACTCTGTGATACCCGTACGAATTTGTTATCCTATGTGCAAATAAAGATGCCATAACTGACTAAGGGACACATTAATTTATGCAAAATTTCAATACTGTCTGTTTTTCAAAATACTGTGTGTGCCAAACTACTATTTAAGTTGTATGGCAGCTACCAGAAAAAGCTAAGAAATTTTAACAAATTTTATCAAACACATTGGCCCTAGTAATATATTCGCTTGTGTGAAATTTCAATACCATAGCTTTTATAGTTTCTGAGATATAGCCAAATAACTTTTGAAGTTGTATGGCAGGTACCAGAAGGAGCCAAGTAATTTCAACGACTTTTATCATACACATTGGCCCTACTAATATATTCGTTTGTGTGAAATTTCAATACCACAACTTTTATAGTTTCTGAGATATAGCCAAATAAATTTTGAAGTTGTATGGCAGCTACCCGAACCGGTACCCCGATCATGTCCAATTTAAATAGGGTTCTGGCACTTACTACAATAAATCATTTATGAAAATTTGGTGAACTTAGCTCAATTAGTTTTTGAGTTATCGTTGGGACGGACGGACGGACGGACGTACAGACAAAGCTAAATCAACTCAGAATTTGGCGCTGATAAAAAACATACACTTGAGTCTATATCTAAGACCGTTATTTCTTAGCGTTACAAACGGTAAGGCAAATTTAGTATACCCTTCGAACATACGTTCGTACGGGTATAAATAGTTTCAAAAATTCAGGAAAATTTCAATAGCAGAATTCAAAATTGGGTTTTTATTATTTAAATTTTCATGACACAAAAAAAAAAAAGAAAAAATAAAGGATTATAAATTTTTTTTTTATACTTTTATTATCCTTTTCTTAATATTCAGTTAAAGGATTTTATGCTATCAAAAAATTAAAATTTTGACTTTTTTCTTTTATAGTTTCGGGACTACGGTGTTAAAATAGCAAAAAAATGTGTAACTTGTAGGTCTGTAACATGATAATATGTGTGTAGGGCCTGTATGAATGTTACGAATAATGATATAAAATATTATAAAATATGTGGCAATATTGAGGCGGGAAAATATAAAAATTTTTTAAAAACATTTGTTTTTCCTAGAATTAATGCTTTAAAATTTAAGAAATTTGGTAGAGAAATTAGTGAAACTAATTTAAAAGTAACATTTAGGAGTAATTCTAACTTTCACAACTTGAGTAGTAGTTAACAACAATTTGAAAGCATGAACCCTTTTCGCTACAAGGTCTTTTCTTTACGATAAAAATATTGAAATTTGTGGTAGCTTCTCTTGTCGTTCTCTAAATAAAACATTTTAGTGAATTTTAGTTCTGAGAACAGTTCCCGTTATTAAACTCTCTATAAACATAAAGGAATTTTTTGTTTATATTGTTAGTTTTTTCTTAAATATCAAAAATTTTAAATTTCCTAGAAGAAGAGAGGACGAGGTTTTATAAATTTGATTCCATATTTTCAATACTATAAGCATTTCTAGCTGTGGAATTGCGTTCTTTGCCATTTTTATAAATTTTTAGTTTTTTTAGATAGATTTTTATTACTTTTTTTTTATTTTATAATAATGCAATAATATTTTTTAACATATGTTACACATTCTTTACAAATTTAGTAAAATAATTTTTCAAAATTGAGTTAAAATAAAAAAAAAATAAAAATTTTGTATCAAAATTTCCTCTTTATTCTTTTGAGTAGTTTTCGTTTTGGATGCCCACTCCCCAAATTGTCACATTTTCATAAAAAATTGTGTGATTGAAATGAAGTTAAAAAACGAAAATTATTTTCATGTCCTTGAAAAGTTTTCCGACTTTCGCAAATTTCGTAATTGTATCATGTAAAAATGTCAAATTGACAAAAGAAATAAAAACATAAAAAAAAAATCATTAGAAACCCATAGTGGAACCACGGCGTGTTTTATTTGAAATTCGTGGTAATTTTTTAAGGAATAATTGCGTATCATGATTTTTTTTCCAATGGTTTTGTAAATTTAAAGAAAATAAATTAATATTTTTCCATTTGGAGGAAAAAAAAACAGGCGGTCTAAAGTAATTTTGTATTGTTGTTTACGTGGCTGTTAAGGGAAAATAATGTCTAGAGTAAAATTTTTCTCAATTTATCTTGAATTGAATTATGAAAATTTATGGTATCGGGTAGAAATTTAAATTCTATGGACGCTAAATATTTTATTGAATTTCTGTTTTTTTAATAGGGAACACGATTTTGATTTTATTTTGTCATTATTTTTTTTTTGCGGTGTTTATGAGAAATAATAAATTTTGCAGTTATATATTTATTGGGGTTCCAAAAGTGTAAGTACGACTTTTGGTTTATGAAGATAAATATCATGAAATAATTGAATAAGAGAACATTTCTTGTTAAGAAAAACTTAAGAAAATTAACTTTGAATAATATATAAAAATTGCATATATTTAGGCAAAATTATTAAAAATTTTTAAAATTTCACTAAAGAAAATGAAATAGCTAGAGCAATTATTTAATAAATTCAGAATTTTCAATGAACAAACTAAAATTAAAAAGAATTTAAGCAAATGGAACGAAAAATGGAATTCTTCATTTTATTGTAGTAGCCTTTAATTACTTGCATCCCACAAACCATCTAATTTTTGTTTATTTTCAATTTTCTTTTTCACAGATATTTTAGATATTGGTAAGAACATATTAAAATTCTTAATGATAATAATTGAAATCGAAAAATATTACGTTATTTATAATTAACTAATGTCATTGTAGAATTAATTTATTGATCAAAAATTAAAGTAGAGTTTACATAAAAATTACATTAACATTATTTTCCTATTAGCAATTTCTGTTACTTTCTCATTATGTCATCTCATTTGCAGTTGTATATTTTCTATATTGCTTTAGATAACACTGTTTTGAGTAATATTATGAAAATGCTGTTTATTTAATGAGAGGAGCATAATAATTACTATTACAACATGTTACAATTACAATATCATACTCTCTTGTTAAAAATCAATAACATTTCACTTGTTGCTTCTACTAATTAAAACTTTTGCTTTTTTAAAAGAGAAAAGAGGAAAGAATATAAAAATTTTTGGGGCATTGTCAGATTATTTAAAATTCCACTTTAACCATGCACAAAGAAAAGACAAAACTCATTTAATTTTACTGTAAAAAATTAATTCGAAAATTCAAAATTGTGTGATAAAGAAAATATTAAAAATGGTTGGAAAAAATAAATGTTTTTTTAATATTTAAATAAATTCCGAATATTTTAAAAAAAAAAATTTTTTTCCAATTTTCATCTCTGTTTCGAATAAATTTTTAAATAAAAATTCAAATGGACTTCTGTTCCTTGTTTTTACATGGAAATTAAAAAAAAAAATGGAAGAAGGAAAGAATTGGTTATTCTACTATTTTAACAAGATGTTTTTTTCTTCTTCCATTTTTGACCTAATGTTAATTTAGAAGTCATGTTTATCCTTCTGAATACAAAGCAAAAATAATAAAAAAAAACAAAGAAACCTCAAAATGTAAAAAATTAAAATGAAAATTTCGAATTTCTTTAGAAACCTTTTTTATTTTTTATCCTTCTAATTTTTGGAGAAATTCCTTTAAAACACAATTCAATAGGGAGAAGAAGTAGCCAGCGTTCTGTAAATATTGTTAAATTAAAAATTTTTTAAGATTTTAATAAATTTTCAGTCATAATGTTTTTCATTTCTTTTGTTTATTTTCTGACCATTTTTAATTTTTTTACTT